ATATATTCCTTTAACACTGTTTCGTGAAGTTTGTACTGTACAATTCTGTACAATTCTGTACAAATTGTACAGAATTGTGTATACTGGAGTTTCACAACCCGTTTTACGTGAAGTGGCGTGATACTCCATGTGAAAAACGCGTTATTCGCGGTGATATGCAGTAGTCGTGAAATATATTTATTTGTACTAGCGTTTTTCATATCACTTGGCTGGTGAAACTCCATTCGGATTTCACATGATTTTTCACTTGTAAATTCTCAGGGCCAAGGCGCTGATTTCACGATGCTGCCAAGTGAAGACTTTGCTTGTTTGAACGACTACATCGACTACTTGAGAAACGATATAAAAGTAGTAGTTGAGGAAATGCAAGAGTGAGTAAGATTGCAAGATTTGTGTATAGGTTCCTGCGTTTGACGTTGAAATTAACGGTGGAGCTCAGTTTCGAAGATTGATGTACGAAGTAGAGGTTTTTCTGAGATTTTCGGAAATCGGCGTGGAAACTAAAAAGAAGGATGTCATTCAAGCCCGAGGTGAGGCGAGTGGTATCACGCGTTGTCGGTTTTGGGGAAAAACGTTTGATAACAATAGAGTATCACCACCCTAGTAATATGAAAAACATATTTCACGACCATTGCATAGTGCGAATATCGCGTATTTCACCGTGTGTATTACGCCACTTCACGTAAAACGGGTTGTGAAACTGAAATGGAAAAATGGTATGATGACATTTTTAGGGGAAATTTGATTAAAGAATGTGTTATTGATAATGTGGTGTTGAAAAAAAAAGAAATTTTCCCCTGAGGAAAAGTATGGGCTCTTTTGGAAGACTTAATGTTGGTGTCAGTGTGGGAAAATATGCGCATGGTCAGCAACATATGTTGGGTGAACATATGAAATTTCTGAGGAAATTTGGGGAAATTCTGGTTAATTCCTGTACATTTCTACCCTACTTTGTATATAAACTCCTATATTTAGTGAGGAAACCCCTAGGTTCAGCTGAGGGAAGCGGACATATATTACAGCACTGGTTGGTGTTGCCGTCATGGTATTAGGGCAATAGCTGAGTTGTTGCCGATGTGCTTCGGTTTATCTATTATTTTATGGGAGTTTATATAGAACTAGGGACGAATTTTAGAGTTGAGTTTTACCCTAGTGATATGAAAAGTACTAGTGAAAAATATATTCTGCGAATATTGAGTTTTTTACAGAGTATCACGCCACTTCACGTAAAAGGGGATGAAAAAATAAATTCGGACCACGCATTCGTTATGCGAGAAATAGTGTATATCTCCACTGAAGACGAATAATGATGTAGAAAATTTTGGTATGTTTACCGCGATATGTGATTTTTTTCGCGGAAAATTGACATCTTTTTTGTCATTCAGGTGTGTCCATGGGCTCTGTTACTTGGCGAGATGTGGTGGTGAAGTTGCTGTGCACGGAGGCGTTGATTCCGATGAAAGCTCGAATACAATACGCGGGTGAGATTGTCAATTAGAATTTCGCGAGTTTTAACGCTTATATGAAGTGGGAGTGAAAT